ACAGTTACACAGTTATGGCGTCCACTGTAGTCCAAAATGTTCAAATACCGACAACTCCTGATACGCACAATGTGCCGAGGGAAAGAGAATTCACCTTGCTACATCATCCACACAAACATTAATGGTTTCACTGCTTATCTAAAGTTGCACAAGCTTATATGTATTTGGTATAATCTACTGGAGTGGTGATACGAGTTTGGACAAATATAAAATATATTTAATGGTTTCTTAATAGCATTTTTTCGACAAATCGTCTTGGATTATTTCCTCCCTGAAAGCCTACTACTCAAACAAACGAAAACAACTCACAAAAGCAATTAAAAAGATACCTCAAAGCCGGAACGAAAATAATATACAATATTGTACAAAAGACACAAGTAGATAACACCTTTTAATACACTATATAGTTACATACTGGAGAGGCGAAAGCTCCGTCCTTCCAGGACTTGTAAATGATGCTAAGACCATAAATTATGAAGCCTAGGAGACGACTTGGGAAAATCCGAAGTGATCAAAAGCAAAATTAAAATCTATATTGGAAAGAAGACGAACCCCGTAATCCGTGTAAAGTCATAATATACAAATATCGGATAATTTAAGAACAATGTCAAGTATATGTGTATATTTTGAACGTGTCACCAATCGAATGAATTAAAATGTGACATGCAGGTTCCGGCAAACCTCGTAGACTAAAAGTCCACCAGCAGTGTCTACCACTTGCAATCTCGAAGATTGTACAGAAAGGGATACAATGGAATAGCACCTTTTAATAGAATTACAACATTTCTTCAATCTTGATTTGGTAGCAAAATTATTGCATCGATGCATTGAAGACTATATTACAATATGTCTTTTTTTCTCGAGATAGACGTTTTGGTCTGTGATAGAAACTTTCGGCCTCTGCAATATCCCTTATGACGACTTCGAACAAGGTCTTCGAAATCAATACTAAGGATGAGATATTTTATTCTATCTTCCGCTTGACTGATTGAAGTAAATCCTACAAATTATGTCTTCATTTGGGTTGTTGTTCCGAATTTCTTTTTAAAATGATCACCACGTCTTCTAGCATCCAAAATATGTTAGTTCTCGTACCATGAATCCAAAGTGTTGTGGAATATTGGATCAATGTTTGGCAACTGGTTTATGTTATCAAACGAAAGTGAAATCCTTGAAAGAATGAGCGAGTTTATAACAAGACACCTTTAGTTCCCCGCACCCAGCGTGAACACTACAGCTTTCTATTCCAGTGCTATCATTTGATACTGAATCCTCCAGAAAGAGGGCTGGAATAAATGTGGATTTCAGGGAATAATCCTTCGACCAATTGTCAACATCCGCTCCTGAAAAAAATTCTTATCAGCCTATTTGATGTTTTCAGGATGTCCATTTTCGTGCTAAATTATAGGAATGTTTGCATGACCTCCTAATATATGTTTGTGAGGTTGTTTTTGTTTTTCAAACAAAAGTGAACTTTGGTACACGTGTATCATTGTGAATTCTACTGTGAGAGAGTTTATGGTATCGGAGATTGCGCCCTAAATGGAATAGCTGGATTTCGGGCTGACATCGCCCAACAGACCATAGGTATTAGACTTGAAATTAATCTCATTCCTCTCTTGGCTCACTTGGTTTTATTTATTTGTTTATAATCCGAGAAAACAAAGAAAAGATGCCGACAAGTTAACAAAATCTTCATTCAAACACTAAGTTGACGAAACTGTGACAAGATAAAAACGAAAGAAAGATTTTCACACACACTCAAGCACACGCATGGGGTTATGTTTTTGCAATACCCCTGAACACAGGTTTAGTATGTTGTCGCTTGTTGGCGTTATGATATGTCTTGTGACCGTGGTTATGAAGGTTTGATCTTCGAACTCATGACAAAAGTTCTCATCAGCTGGTATTAAGCAGTCATAGTCATGCTGAAGTTACCATTAGTACACCTTATGGTCTTCAAAACCTCATACCCCTAGCATCGCTAACGAAGAACAAAATACTTACATGATGCAGTTTATTTTCATTATTTTTGGCGATGATCTATCAAACACTAATTTTGTAAGATGCTATTCGTATAAATCATTTGTTGGTTTTGCACAATCGTTTGGTCTTGTGTTAGAAGAGTACAATAAAAAGATAATGGTTTTTGTGTTTCCTCTTCTTAACATTGGAAACATGCATGTACTCCGACTGCAGTACAGTTCACAGAATCCTGAAATCCATTGATGGTGAATTTAATCTAAAGATAAAATTTTAGTTTGCTGTGTGAATGACAGTAAGTCATTCACGAGTTACCTCCCCTCTTTGAATACTAATTTTACTAAACCAGTGTAGGAGTTATTTCCCTTGGCACGCACCTGCCAACACTGTCTTCACTCTGATGTTCTGTTTGTGGTTTTTTGAAAATAATTCTGGTCAATTGAAGGGCTTATAACCAAACAACAACAACAGCAACAACAACAACAATGTTATAACGTCCTGCCTGGAGGACAAGATTGTACAACAGACACTAGTAAAGCGAACCATTTGATAAAATTTGCATGAGATATAACAAAGCCAAACAATGTTTTAAACTTACAGCTGTTTCGTTCTTCTGGGGCTCGTCAATGATACTAAAAGCTGAAATGCTAAACCTAGGTGGCGTTTGAGAAAAATTCAAAGTGATAGGGAAAAAAATGTCAAAATCTAGATTGGGAGGTGCACTATCCCCAAAATTTAGTAAATTATGCAAATTAAATATATTTGGTAGTTTTAGAACGTCACTTAGCACACGTGTTGCTGTAATTAACTATTTTGTAGCGACTAGGACAGGTTTAATTTATATTTCTCGTCAGCTTTTATTCAACAGTAAGACTCGGTCAATAGTCGCCTTTAGTATAATTTCCCATCTATATTCTGACACTAATTATGACCTATATCCGTTTTACTCATTCACCATCTAGGCTTCAACATTTCAGACCCCTAGCATCACTGACCAGGCCTAGAACTCAAAAGACGAAACAGCTGTATGAAGCACATTTTATTTATTACTTGGCCCTACTGATGGATATCTGTACTGAATGGCATTATTCACTTGGGAGTCTTTTGAACAATCTTCATCAATCTACCAGTTACTTATCAACAGATTGATTCTCCTGTAATATATAATTATGGTTTTACTTGTGATGAACTCCATTTCCTCTTTCCAGATGTTCACACTTTCGGCTTTAAGCAACACAGATAAGTTCTGGAAGGTTTAAACAGCTTTATGACGCAGTTAAACTCATTGTATGGCTCCACAGTATCTAACACCAAATAAACATTGAAAGGCGCTATTCATTTTTGTACATTTCATTTGATTATTGCCAAGATTGCCAGAAAATATCGTCGAAAAGATGAATGTATGTTTTGTACCCTCCGTCACCAGCAGCTTTCTGTATAGTACATAACTAAAGGGACGTGGAAAAGAATTCCAACTCCATGCTAGTTGATTTGCTGCTCCCACTGGGATTTTGATATTTTTCTTTCTTCCTTTCTGTACTTTATTTTCAACTCTAAGTGTTCTTTCTGATATCCATCCTTATATTACTCTGGCTGTTGCGAGGACGTTTAACATAGTAAAAATGCAACATATCATTTGACACATGCAAGGTGCTTATGGTTTCTATTATGTTACAGTGGTAAACATATCATTTAACCGATATTTGTGGGGTTTTTTTTTTCATATTTCTTAGTCAGAGGAAATCACACCAGTTGGTATTTCATTGTGCTCTATTCGTTCAAGAGTTACGTCCCTTCTTTACATACTGAAAACTACTTTCCAGTAGGAGTTATTTCCCTTTTTACACAACTATTAAAAAAAACAATAAAAATCTAAAACTGTATTGGACATATCTACTTTTTTATATCTCATGTCTGATCTTGTTTGTTGTGAACGAAATACTCATTATCAGGGGAAGCGTTCTGTAGAACAAGAACAAAGTCATCTATGTTTAGATATTGAAGTGTACCGATCAGGGGTTAGCAGGAAAGCACGGATGTTTGCCCCGCAGGAACATCAAAGAAGCACGACTTCTGATTCCAACAACTTTTTTTAATGTGTAACAAAAACGAGTGACGTAACACACAGAAATATTAGAGAAGGATCCGGGTTGCGGACCGGATTATTATTATTGATCCAATACATTACAGACAGAGACGTATATAAACCATCATCTGAATTCAAAATGTTAGTCGATGAAACTAGAGCAAAATATCAACAAAAAACAAAATTACACAGTCTACAACAAAAGTAGGTGTACAAGACCAGGTGTTCCAGGAGAGCAAGCGTCTTCTACTTCATCGTCATCTTCGTCAAAGTAGGTTATGTCACGTTCCAAAATCAGAACACTGTAAACAAACATGGAACAAATAGGTACACTAACAAGAACCAAACACGATTTCATATCGCAAAAGGAAATAAGCATATTACCTAACGAGGTTGTTATGACAACAGTTTTGACAAGGTCTTCTGCACAAGTCAACCAAGAAAGGGGTACAGTTTGTTTCTAAAGGTATGCAAATAGTCTGTTTAACATCTTTCCCTTAACTCCATTAATTCATCGTCAACTAGAAATTCGATCAATATATCATATATTCCTTCTTTGGTTTGAATGTATTTATCATGAAACATCCTTCAGTGTATTCACAGCCATATATTTGTACTGCAGTTGACCTTTCATGAAACAGAAAGCTTTCAAGCCGCCGACAAGAAAATGAAGATGTTCCTTCGGTTAAGAGCAATATCAAATGTGCTTGTGCTTGCTTGTGAATATCAAATCATTTTCAAAAATTGTTTCAATGCTTTCAGTGTTTTTGTTTCTCACCACGACCGTTGTATCATATGTCACTGGACCCTTTGGCCAATATTTGGATATGTTCAGAAAAAAATCATTTCTAAGACACAAATGCATTTTAAAAACTCTAATATTTAAATACTTTCTAACGGTTAGCTTGTAATAAACATAACAACACTACAATTCAAATTTTGACTTCGATTTATTATTTTCTCACCTGACATACACATTTAAAAACATATTTGACGTCCATACAATTTTCTATCTCTCTAACAACCAGAAAAGGAAGACGACGCAATTATCTAATCCAAAAGCAAAATAGAAATATTTTCAATCAATGCATTAAAACACCAGGAAAGGTTCTCCATCTGATACAGCTGTATAAATTTCAGTATCAGATTTCATTAGGCCTGGTGATTTAAGTAATTTCTAGAAAACATCTCTTTTGATGGATTATTTTTTTTTCAAATTAAAAAAAAAAAAATAACATGATAAGGACTTGTTTTGATAATTTTTACTAACATGAGGGACTCCAAACAATCAGGAACTGCGGACATCAAACAGGACATCTACAACTTTATCATCATTTTGTGACTTGCCATATACAAACTCAAATGACTAGCCTGAAATCTGGTCTGTGTATCAGCGCAATTGTTGTATTCAAAATTCTATTTTTTTTTTCGTATCCTCCTTATCACACCTTCTACATTGTGACTAAAATGTTGAAACACATCCCACAAATGATTTTTGATTGTATTAAACATCAATCTCTACCAGTACTGTTGTACAGTCACAACAATCTCCATGACAAATTGTCACTTTTATTAAACATTTCGATCTTGTATTTTTTGGTCACATTAGACGTTTCCACACCCGCAATTACATTCGAAACAAGGTAGAAATGAAATAAAAATAACGCAAATATTACGCAGTTTGCATAACAATTGCTCATAATAGAAAAATCTATAATATCAACTGATATCCTTATTGTTTGATCAAAATAATGTCTTTAAGGAATATGATAGGTCAACAAAGTTATAAATGATAGCTTTCAAACAAGGGTATCAAAAACATGAGAAGCTAGCTTGAAATGATTGAAGGAATCCTGCTGGCAATTGTACCTATATCGTGATTATACTCATCAGCTATGATTCCAATGGGAAAAATGAATCCTCAACTTTTCCAACAGGGGAGACATAAATCCTCAGTTTTTCCAACAAGGGAGATAAATTCTCAATTTTCACAACACTACCAGATGATCATGATATCAGATATAGAAAATAAATTATACCAAAATTTTATCAAAATGATGAAGTGTTACAAATAAAATACAAAGTGTTATTAAACAAGTTAAAGTTGAAGTTTATCCATTAAAAAAACACTGAATAAAATCAGCAGATCATAAAATACCTGCTGTATGACGATCAGATATTCTTAATTAAAAGGAAGCATTGAAACTGTTAAAACCAGGTACATGTAGTCTGCAGGATAGACACAGGACATGTAACAAGTAACAGATTTGGACTATATTTTCAAATATAGAAAAACTAAAAAAAAAAAAAAAAAACTAAATATAAATTGAATCAAGAATATTTTAATTAGGGACTATGTTTAATATTTGTTCACGAAATTTTTAGCAATTCTGAAGTGACTTATAGATTGGAGGGAGGTGTTTTGATATTTTTGACTGCCTTCAGCACCTCTTCCAGTTCAGCATGATCTCCAAACTCTCTCTCCTGGTGCTGGTAAAGGATACCCTGGTTACCTGGTCCAATCACAAACACACCTGTAACAGATAATAATCAATTCTTACATTCTTACAGAAATATTTATGTCAGAATATCCTTGAGATGATTGGAGTGTTGAAATCTTGCAACATGAAAAATGTCAAATTTAATTGTTACATGTCAAAAAAGAGACCCAATGGAATTGAATCACTCATCTTTTCAGTAGCTTATAAAAAAAACACTTTGTAGGAGTATTACATGCGAAATAACTTTCAAAGAGGATTTTGTTTAATGATGTAGTTTACAATGTCAAACCCCTTCCTATATGGTATGATACACATCAAATATAATTCCCTGGGTCTTGTGGTAATTGAGAAGGCATTGTTAAAAATATTTCAACACATTTTATCCTAGTAATCTTGAAAGTAAGTCAAGGTTATTTATTTGAACAAGATGGTAGTCTTTATCCTATCATGCTACTAGCCTTGCATTATGACCCTGGACCTCTTGGTTTTAGAGGAGAAGTTGTTAAATGGAAAAGTCTATATGCAGGTGAGCTAAAAACTAGGAGCATTATATTACATGTATGAAGATTTTCTTTTAAATGAGAGGAGGTTCTGAGAACAGGACCATGAAAACATACTGAGAAAGGAAGACATACACACGAGGCATAAATAAAATCTATATTATGTAATCAGTAGATTAAAAAATATTTTAAATGATCCAAATTTCTAAATTGATAAAGGATTTTTTCCCCTAATGTCACAACAAAATAATTACAAGCGAAGATATTTTAAGATTTCACCTTGACCTTATACTCAGTGACCTTGACCTGCGATGACTTACAACCAAAATACAGAAAAAGATGGAAAAGGACAAGAAGTAGAAGAAGAATAAGAAACAGAACTTGCACTTATCATCATATTCCATCACCTCCCATTCAAAAGTGAGACATATCTCAAATATTTACCATTAAACGCTTTGAGTATCATGACTCTACATATAGCCATGGTTTCAAATATCATTCAAATACTCAACACATGACTTCAAAAGCAATAAAAAAAGCCTTTCCAGCATGGATTTAAAAATCCTTCTTAATTATATTATTTTGTTTTGAGAAAAATATGCTGAGGTTTAAGAAAAGTTTCCAGACTTTTATTGGACAGTCACTGTTGTGGTATCAATGGTAGTGTATCAATACTTGAGTCAATTAAACAGTTGACTTGTATACACCTTACTCACATGTCTCTGGCATTCCCTCCACAACTTACCTCCCATTAATCGTCCCTCACCATCCATATTGCCTGGAATTTTCTTCCTATACACTCTGATAAGATTTTGTACAAAATTCACACGAAATAAACCAAATAACGGCATCCATCTTTCTTTGGGACCATAAAAGATTTTCTGAAATGTAAATAAAGGAAAGAAATACATTTTTTGAAACAAATTAAAAAAAAAACCATTATAACTTTTTCATGTGATTTTATTCATAAAACTGAAAATTTAGGATGTATCCCTCTGATGTTTTCACCGGAAGTAAGACATGATTCAATATAAAATAAATTCTATCACAATATCTTTAATGTTGGTAGTCTTATACACTTTGTTATCTAAAACAATAAAAAAGGAATCTCAACACCACAAAGACTTCATGTGAACATTGTCTACATGTTTCGACCGCTATGCGGCCGTCATCAGGACAATTTTTTATTTTGAAAAGACATCTAAGGTATACAAATGCGGTACATCAATTATTATGACGTCACAGTTAATGCAACATTACAATGAGTCATTATAGCTACAAAGTTCCATTACATATTCTGAAAAATACCGTACACTCTGTGTACACTTATTGTCCGGTTTTGAAGAGTAATCGGTAGTTCATCTTGTACATATGTGGCAATACTACTAAAGCTATCATTCATGGTTGAAGTTTCATTCTCATGTACATATAGATGGTCACTGTATGTGTTCATGTTGGAGCTGCATGCATCATCATCCGTGTCAGATAGGTATAAATCTGCTGCCAATGTGTCTGTATCAATCGGTTCATGTGGTTTCTTTTCTGGGTGTTTTGTGGCCGGTATTATTCTAAATTTCACATTATCAAAGTTGGTCTGGCCTGTGGATTCAAACTGTGGGGTCCAGTTGACGGGGATTTGTTATCTAGAATTGTACTTACAAACTTATCAAAGGCGATTTTTATGACGTTTTGTAGAAATTTCTCTTATAGACTACTACACAAAACATATATATAGTGACCCGGTTACCAAGGCAACTAAAAACGTTTTTAATTAGTAACCTTATGCACATCTACACGGCCCATTTTGGGTGGTTATGTTGGTTATATCAAACATCAAAATTATGCAATTAGAAATGAATGAAACAAAATGGATATTTATTCAACACTTACTTCAGTATCCAAGAAAATTTCACCTTTGAAAAATGGCTGGAAATCCTTGACACCCAGAGTTTGATGTACGACACCATACAGCTTCACTCCATGAGTGTTGAGGTCTTCCAGCAGGGAGGAGAGCCCGAGGGCCTCCTACAATAGTAAATATATATATATATACACAACATCAAGGACAGTCACGGGGTTTTCTACAGTGGTAAATTGTAATATTCAAAATTTTTTTTTTATATATATATATATCTTGTTTTTGTTTATTTGACAAACTACAAATACATTTATTATTTTTTTACAATAAATTTTTTAATTTTTAGTCAAACAATTGCTCATTCAGAATGTGGCCGATATGTACCGTTAGACTATTGGGTGTGACATGCAATTGTTTTCGTTGCGATTACATATAAGTTCAGTGTCTAGAGTGCAAAACATACCGAGACTGATATAAAACATTTTTGATATTTTTATCACCATCTTACATACAACAATTTTGGATGTTTTTTTTTGTCCGTTAAAAAGACCCTTTGGAGTCCATCAGCTGGAGGGATTATCGAGACACCTAAATTTACATCACTGCTCTTGATTTAGATTTATAACTTTGTATTTGTTTTATGTTCTATGTAAGTGATACTTATATCTTGATAAAGGGACAGGTTGCCTCAAAAATTTGACAATATATATATATATACAACAGGGAAGACAGTCCTGGGGCTTCCTACGATGGTAAATATATATATATACAACAGGGAGGACAATCCTGGGGCTTCCTACGATGGTAAATATATATATATATACAACAGGGAGGACAATCCTGGGGCTTCCTACGATGGTAAATATATATATATACAAGGAGGACAGCCTAAGGGATTCCTACAGTTGTTAAATAATGTACACAAGGAGGGTGAAATGCTAAAGACAAGCTAAATATCATTATGGAAACATTTAAATGTGCCTTTCTTTTCAAATCTTCTTGGCATTTTATCGTAAATGATATCTAAAAATCACAAGAATGAAACAATCAACATCTTTTTTCTTTTAATGTTTTAAACTTCTTTCAGATTTATTTGAATTTGCAGACTTTAAAATCTGAGAAAACTTTTAAACACAGACTTTATTTGTACATACCAAGCACTAGATATGTGTTTATTTGATCACCACAGTAAAAATTCAAGTAAAAATGTGATAAAATACCTGCATGAAATGACTGACAGGTAACAACTCTGATGCTATCTTTTATATGAAGCCTTATTGCTGATTCTGATGGCTGTTTATTGACACAGATAACTAATCAACAGGTTAACGAGAAATCAGGTAAATATGCCAGCCATATCTGTAACATTACCTTGGTATCACCATATTATTGACCTTTCTTACCCAGTACTGAAGTTACATAGAAAAGCTACAGGGGGCAAGATTACTTACATTAAAATATAATTTCAAAATGTTGTCCGTTATGGGATTTTATGACATGCCAACTTTAGGGCAGAATTATTCATTTCCCTGTGGGTCTATCATTTGATACAGTAGACAGATGTACTAATTTCCCTATAAGTCTATCATTTGATACAGTAGACAGATGTACTAATTTCCCTGTGGGTGTATCATTTGATACAGTAGACAGATGTACTAATTTCCCTGTGAGTCTATCATTTGATTCAGTAGACAGATGTACTAATTTCACTATACCTAGCTAGGTAAGTCTATCATTTGATACAGTAGACAGATGTACTAATTTCCCTGTGGGTCTATCATTTGATACAGTAGACAGATGTACTGATTTCCCTATAAGTCTATCATTTGATACAGTAGACAGATGTACTAATTTCCCTGTGAGTCTATCATTTGATTCAGTAGACAGATGTACTAATTTCACTATAAGTCTATCATTTGATACAGTAGACAGATGTACTAATTTCCCTGTGGGTGTATCATTTGATACAGTAGACAGATGTACTAATTTCCCTGTGGGTGTATCATTTGATACAGTAGACAGATGTACTAATTTCCCTATAAGTCTATCATTTGATACAGTAGACAGATGTACTAATTTCCCTATAAGTCTATCATTTGATACAGTAGACAGATGTACTAATTTCCCTGTGGGTGTATCATTTGATACAGTAGACAGATGTACTAATTTCCCTGTGGGTGTATCATTTGATACAGTAGACAGATGTACTAATTTCCCTGTGGGTGTATCATTTGATACAGTAGACAGATGTACTAATTTCCCTGTGGGTCTATCATTTGATACAGTAGACAGATGTACTAATTTCCCTGTGGGTGTATCATTTGATACAGTAGACAGATGTACTAATTTCCCTGTGGGTGTATCATTTGATACAGTAGACAGATGTACTAATTTCCCTGTGGGTGTATCATTTGATACAGTAGACAGATGTACTAATTTCCCTATAAGTCTATCATTTGATACAGTAGACAGATGTACTAATTTCACTATAAGTCTATCATTTGATACAGTAGACAGATGTACTAATTTCACTATAAGTCTATCATTTGATACAGTAGACAGATGTACTAATTTCCCTGTGGGTCTATCATTTGATACAGTAGACAGATGTACTGATTTCCCTATAAGTCTATCATTTGATACAGTAGACAGATGTACTAATTTCCCTGTGGGTCTATCATTTGATACAGTAGACAGATGTACTAATTTCCCTATAAGTCTATCATTTGATACAGTAGACAGATGTACTAATTTCCCTGTGGGTGTATCATTTGATACAGTAGACAGATGTACTAATTTCCCTGTGGGTGTATCATTTGATACAGTAGACAGATGTACTAATTTCCCTGTGGGTGTATCATTTGATACAGTAGACAGATGTACTAATTTCCCTGTGGGTCTATCATTTGATACAGTAGACAGATGTACTAATTTCCCTGTGGGTGTATCATTTGATACAGTAGACAGATGTACTAATTTCCCTGTGGGTGTATCATTTGATACAGTAGACAGATGTACTAATTTCCCTATAAGTCTATCATTTGATACAGTAGACAGATGTACTAATTTCCCTGTGGGTCTATCATTTGATACAGTAGACAGATGTACTAATTTCCCTGTGGGTCTATCATTTGATACAGTGATGTACTAATTTCCCTGTGGGTGTATCATTTGATACAGTAGACAGATGTACTAATTTCCCTATAAGTCTATCATTTGATACAGTAGACAGATGTACTAATTTCCCTATAAGTCTATCATTTGATACAGTAGACAGATGTACTAATTTCCCTGTGGGTCTATCATTTGATACAGTAGACAGATGTACTGATTTCCCTATAAGTCTATCATTTGATACAGTAGACAGATGTACTAATTTCCCTCTGGGTGTATCATTTGATACAGTAGACAGATGTAATAATTTCCCTGTGGGTGTATCATTTGATACAGTAGACAGATGTAATAATTTTCCATGTGTGTCTATCATTTGATACAGTAGACAGATGTACTAATTTCCCTGTGGGTGTATCATTTGATACAGTAGACAGATGTACTAATTTCCCTGTGGGTCTATCATTTGATACAGTAGACAGATGTACTAATTTCCCTGTGGGTGTATCATTTGATACAGTAGACAGATGTACTAATTTCCCTCTGGGTGTATCATTTGATACAGTAGACAGATGTAATAATTTCCCTCTGGGTCTATCATTTGATACAGTAGACAGATGTAATAATTTTCCATGTGTGTCTATCATTTGATACAGTAGACAGAGGTACTAATTTCCCTATAAGTCTATCATTTGATACAGTAGACAGATGTACTAATTTCCCTCTGGGTGTATCATTTGATACAGTAGACAGATGTAATAATTTCCCTCTGGGTCTATCATTTGATACAGTAGACAGATGTACTAATTTCCCTATAAGTCGATCATTTGATACAGTAGACAGATGTACTAATTTCCCTATAAGTCGATCATTTGATACAGTAGACAGATGTAATAATTTTCCATGTGTGTCTATCATTTGATACAGTAGACAGATGTACTAATTTCCCTGTGGGTCTATCATTTGATACAGTAGACAGATGTACTAATTTCCCCCATTTGATACATAAGTAATAATTTTCCATGTGTGTCTATCATTTGATACAGTAGACAGATGTACTAATTTCCCTGTAAGTCGATCATTGACCAAATTAACAAATTTACTCATCAGACCATTCTTGATTTAACAAACTGCCTGATTTTCCTACAGTAAAAAAAATTATCAAAGAAGACAAACTGACTCACCTCCCTACACAAAGATCATCCAGGCCGTCTTACAGCCATCATGACCACACCATTTTTTTTCCACAATTCTGATGCCTGTGAAATATATAAAATATATTATAACTGGATGACTCCTTCCTTGTGAATATGCACCTGTACAGCAATAGAGACTATACACCAATATATCTATTTTTGTCTTATATATGTAGTTGACATTTTGGATAACATAAGAATAAATTTCTCTCTATATATACAAAACTAGACTGAATATTTAATAAGTGTCAATTCATTGTATTTATTCTGTAGTAAGCTTCGGTAAGCATAAAAAATATCTGACTTTGAAGTCAGGGGGTGGGCTTATCATGGGACAACTTAATAACATTTTTTTCTTAAATCTTCAGTTCTCAATATTGATTGATGGGCCAGGATATGAGAAATGGGCATGGATACAGTAATTTTCTTATTTCAGTTAAGATTGTAAAGACTGATAAATTAAAACTATGTTGTGTGGTTTCCATGTTTATATGACTCTCCAACTTGCCATGTTTTTTTTTAAAAATCTGTGATAAATATTCATTAATTACATGAAAATGATGACAATTACAATCAATTTATCTGTTTAAAAAGAATTATGGATAGTTAGATGACCAGTTAAACATCAAAAAGAACAGCAGACACCAAATTTTCGTTCTATGTTTAAGAATGCTGTAAAGACTCATAGCTTACTGTGATATTTCTCGGTTGAGAATCTAAAGTCTGTATCTTGGCCTTGTCTAGGTACTTTAATGTGACTTTCTTTGATAGACTAATAGCTTACTGTGAAAATTCTCGGTTGAGAATCTAAAGTCTGTATCTTGGCCTTGTCTAGGTACTTTAATGTGACTTTCTTTGATAGACTAATAGCTTACTGTGAAAATTCTCGGTTGAGAATCTAAAGTCTGTATCTTGGCTCTGTCTAGGTACTTTAATGTGACTTTCTTTGATAGACTAATAGCTTACCTTGAAAATTCTCGGTTGAGAATCTAAAGTCTGTATCTTGGCTTTGTCTAGGTACTTTAGTGTGACTTTCTTTGATAGACTAATAGCTTACTGTGAAAATTCTCGGTTGAGAATCTTAAGTCTGTAACTTGGCCCTCTCTAGGTACTTTAGTGTGACTTTCTTTGATAGACTAATAGCTTACTGTGAAAATTCTCGGTTGAGAATCTAAAGTCTGTATCTTGGCTCTGTCTAGGTACTTTAATGTGACTTTCTTTGATAGACTAATAGCTTACTGTGATATTTCTTGGTTGAGAATCTAAAGTCTGTATCTTGGCCTTGTCTAGGTACTTTAATGTGACTTTCTTTGATAGACTAATAGCTTACTGTGAAAATTCTCGGTTGAGAATCTAAAGTCTGTATCTTGGCTCTGTCTAGGTACTTTAATGTGACTTTCTTTGATAGACTAATAGCTTACTGTGAAAATTCTCGGTTGAGAATCTAAAGTCTGTATCTTGGCTCTGTCTAGGTACTTTAATGTGACTTTCTTTGATAGACTAATAGCTTACCTTGAAAATTTCTTGGTTGAGAATCTAAAGTCTGTATCTTGGCATTGTGTAGGTACTTTCTTGTGACTTTCTTTGTTAGACTCATCGCTTACTGTGAAAATTCTCGGTTGAGAATCTTAAGTCTGTAACTTGGCCCTCTCTAGGTACTTTAGTGTGACTTTCTTTGATAGACTAATAGCTTACTGTGATATTTCTCGGTTGAGAATCTTAAGTCTGTATCTTGGCTCTGTCTAGGTACTTTAGTGTGACTTTCTTTGATAGACTAATAGCTTACTGTGAAAATTCTCGGTTGAGAATCTAAAGTCTGTATCTTGGCTTTGTCTAGGTACTTTAGTGTGACTTTCTTTGATAGACTAATAGCTTACTGTGAAAATTCTCGGTTGAGAATCTTAAGTCTGTAACTTGGCCCTCTCTAGGTACTTTAGTGTGACTTTCTTTGATAGACTAATAGCTTACTGTGAAAATTCTCGGTTGAGAATCTAAAGTCTGTATCTTGGCTCTGTCTAGGTACTTTAATGTGACTTTCTTTGATAGACTAATAGCTTACTGTGATATTTCTTGGTTGAGAATCTAAAGTCTGTATCTTGGCCTTCTCTAAGTAGTTTAGTGTGGCTTTATCTGATGACATGAACCACGACACAGGCATGTTACAGAGGGTGGCAGCCATTGCTGTCACCCCTGCTACCCCAAGTAGGGCCTTGGTCACCCCCATCAGTGTGGGCTGGAAGTTCACTACCTGAAATAGACGGAAAAAAAAGACATAAGAAAAGTGTTTATAACAAAACTGAGAAATAGGATCACCATAGAAGTTCTCCATCTGGAACAGTTGTAAAAACCAAAAAACCTTTAAAGGGTCAAAACTTGAATCTTCATCAAGAGATTGGAATCACATCCCACAGTGTGTAATCACAATGTTTTACTGTTCTCTGCAAGAAGATAGTAAAACCTTTGATAAGTTTGATCTAGGAAACAAACTAGCTACTTGGGGTACCAACCCAAACTATGTTAATTCAGAATGATATTGTGACTTTTTATATAATGAAATATATGTGCACGTATTTGAATATGATTCTCATTATTGACTAGGCTTCCAATCCCATGTAAATTTGGAATTCTTACCACACAATACTTTGATGATATATCCATAATTTACAGTTGGACACAAAAGGCAAATGTTGCCGATCAAACCTTCAACGTGTCTCTTGTGTAATGTTTATTTTTTACTTTGGTTTATCCTGCAATATGTTCCAACAGCCGATATCAAAACTCCAATTAAATGTCATGGGGCGGGCTTATTATGAGGCAATGCAAAACTGCTCCTTGTTGTTCTAGTAAACACCCATAAACTGGGTATGGATGGGCTTATTACCACCATGGGCCTACAGCGGCAAACTGCAAACTACAGTTTTAGAGATCAACATGGCTTTTCAGCAAATTTCTTTCTCTAAAATAATGAAAACAAACTCTTAACTGATTAACTAAATCCAAGATGGCCACTAGACCTGCAAAAATGTGGGGTTTTTCGGCCTAAATTACTAGACAGATCTTCATGAGTCTGATAATGTGAGCACACGTTTACTTTATTCCCTAGTTTTGCAAAATTTCTTTAAACACCCAAAGAATTTAACGCAAAAAACATATGTACATAAATACCTTGTAAATTGGACTAATTCTTTGAAAGCAAGAGCTGAGAATATTTCAAACTGACCAAAATGTGTCTACAGATTTCAGGTTGATGATATTTTATGTTGCAATGTACCTTTTCAAAGTAAAAATGAAACATTAGATGGCACCCTTAAATGTTACAAAACAGCCAGTTTAATCTATATCTACCGCATGTACCGTACCGCTTAAGGACTTTCAAACTGTAGTGATTTATCTTTCCTGTCACATTACAAATATGGCCCATTATTTCCGAGCCCCAGACTACTAAAGGAGGTAATTAAGGCGACAAATCATGTGCTGTGAAGATAATGAAGGGGTAATATTCACTTGTTAAAGACGTTTAGTATGATAATGGACCTAGCAACCACCTCCATTACCGAGCCACCTATAGAGCTGTTATCATAGATACGGTACTCACCAATTCTATTGGACAAAATTAAATAAATCTATCACTGTTTATTATGCTAATACTCCAATCTTCTTTCCTCGTGACTTTGATTAAGGATATAACTTATGTAATGGTGATTCATATTTCATCTTTTATTAAAAGTTCTAAATACTTTTCCTTGATGTACTCTAGAAATTATATTCCTAGCGCTGGAAAAATTCACAAAATTTCTACAATATATCATGCATCAAAAACCATCCTGACAAAATATTTCCTAATCGAGTACATGTATCTAACAACTTAATACCAAATTGTTTATCATGGATTTCTCTAGATTTACCATAGCAACGGTTATTCCCAATCTGATATCTCACACTACAATATTTTACATACTATATAAAATGTAAGCTACAGACATTTAAACAGGTAAATATTTCCATCATCTTCTTATAATATGTAATACATTACTACAAACACTCCTTATAACACTATAATCTTATTGTAATCTTCATCAAAAAAATACAAACACACAGTCTAGATTCTTTCTACTCATCTGTAAGGGACACACATTGCAGCACCTTTACCGATGATCATAAGGTAGAGGTCCATCATACAGGAGTTGTATATATGTTGACCTTCAAAGGTCAAGATGTATTCTTATTGGTAACCAAAGTAAAACAGAACAAAACTATGATGTATTCTTAATGGTACCCAAAATTAAACATTATACCCTCTATTATTTCAGCATAAATTAACTGTAAATGTGGCTTTGAATTTCTACATATGTACATGTACAAAATTGATACCTCATATATCTACAACTATACATAGAGTGTTGTGTGTGGGTGGACAGGAAACCTTTGAATCTCTTGATTTCCACAAATCCATAATGTAGCCCTTGTTCCAATTCTGAAGACCTCTGATTTCTATATACATGTAGTGTTGTAACTTGTTGTTCTACTTAAATCTGAAGAACTCTAATTTCTCCAATATAATTTACATATATCTGGAAGAATTTTTTAGTAAAAAGTTTTATTTAAGTATTCATGTCACCTTACCATTTCTAGAATTGTATCCATCCCATAAACGTAGCAGCCTGCTGATAATGCCACTAACACAGTGAGAACTGCTGTTCCGGAGAGCCCCATGATACAGCTACCACATCTATGCTGATGACAAAAAGTGTCCTCGATGATATCCACAATCTTAACACTTATTTCCAATATTTTCAAAGCTCAAAACAAATTCTTTTTTCAACTGGCTTGAAGACTTTATAATTCTTTTCATGCCGTCATTTGGCATCGCAAACATACAAGGTCATTGCAGGTATGTTTTGAACTTCCTAAAACAGCACATTCACTACCACTCAGTGGTGACAACTGTTTCTAATGTCAAAGACTTTCAGCATCAATATAAACCTTCCTTCAAATTCAGTTTATACTGTAGATAAAGCTGAGATCCAACTTCTACATATACAGTTTCTGAATGATACAACAGTGGAGTTTATACTGCTATAAATTGCATTTCTGGTGGTAAGGATGTATCCCACTACACAACTATCCTAAGGGATATGATCAACTTCTTCACAGATCAACAGGTAATACCATAAAATTCAATATATGACAGGCCACAAACCAAATATTCCACCGTCTATTATAGTACCTTGTTAACAGTGTAAATATGTCAAGCCACAAAACTGTGGAGCTGATCAGTTCATCTCATTCCAGCCATGTGCTGGTCAGCAGCAAAGTGAAACACTCTGGTCAGTACTAGTCTGACCATCAGCTCTAGCCACTCCGATGATCACTGACCACTTTTTCTTTAACACTGACTCAACCCTGTGTTATCAGATGTGATTTTACCCAGCACCAATCCCTGTGGTAGAGTGTCAACAATTACAAGTCAATGCCACCCAGGTTCCAGCTGGGAATTGGTCTATGTCAATATTTAGAAATCTAGCTTGTTGATAAAACTTTATGATACTAAAACCTCTTGAAATCCTGAGCATAAAGACAAATTTGTCTGTTGATCCTAAATTTGATGAAAGCACAACAGTGCCCGAGAGACGATAATTCTCAAGTGCCTACTGTGTGTGTCAGTAAACTGTACATTCTCTATGATAACATAACATTTCTTTTATATAAATTATATTGTACTGAATTTTCTTTTAAAAAAACCCTTTAATATCTATGCCTCCAGTAAAAACATTGTCAGCAAATTTATTTTAAAGTGTTTGTCTTTGATAAGTGTCAAACAAAATGTGTAAACATCTGTTTGAATTTCAACCAGAATGCTACAAGTAGCCTTACAGTCACAAGCTTGTAGTAACAGACTTATTTCAGTAACATGTCTCTTCTTCGCCTACACAGAAAAAGCTCATTACCACACTTGTAGTTACAAACATCTAGTTCTAGGCTTGTATTTACAGGATAAAGTTATAGGCTTTTAAATTATAGGCTTGTAGATACACAATTATAGTTATAGGTTTGTAGATAAAGGTTTGAAGCTAAAGACTTGTAGTCACAGGCTTGTTGTTATAGGCTTGTGGTAACAAATTTGTAGCTAAAGGTCTGTAATTATAGGCTTGTTACAGGCTTGTAGGTATAGGATTATAGTTATTGACTTGTAGTTATAGGCTTGTAGTTGTAGGTTGGAAGTTATAGGTTCGTAATTGCAGTCTTTTAGTTACAGGTTTGTAGTTACAGGTTTGTAGTTATAGGCTTGTAATTGCAGGCTTGTAGTTATAGGCTTGTAGTTATAGGCTTGTAGTTATAGGCTTGTAGTTATAGGCTTGTAATTGTAGGTTTGTAGTTATAGGCTTGTAGTTATAGGCTTGTAGTTATAGGCTTGTAGTTATAGGCTTGTAGTTATAGGCTTGTAGCTGCAGGCTTGTAGTTATAGGCTTGTAATTGTAGGTTTGTAGTTATAGGTTTGTAGTTATAGGCTTGTAGTTATAGGCCTGTAGTTATAGGCTTGTAGCTATAGGCTTGTAGTTATAGGCTTGTAATTGTAGGTTTGTAGTTATAGGCTTGTAATTGTAGGTTTGTAGTTATAGGCTTGTAATTGTAGGTTTGTAGTTATAGGCTTGTAGTTATAGGCCTGTAGTTATAGGCTTGTAGCTGCAGGCTTGTAGTTATAGGCTTGTAGCTGCAGGCTTGTAGTTATAGGCTTGTAGTTGCAGGCTTGTAGTTATAGGCTTGTAATTGTAGGTTTGTAGTTATAGGCCTGTAGTTATAGGCTTGTAGTTATAGGCTTGTAGTTATAGGCTTGTAGTTGCAGGCTTGTAGTTATAGGCTTGTAGTTATAGGCCTGTAGTTATAGGCTTGTAGTTGCAGGCTTGTAGTTATAGGCTTGTAGTTATAGGCTTGTAGTTGCAGGCTTGTAGTTATAGACTTGTAATTGTAGGTTTGTAGTTATAGGCTTGTAGTTATAGGCTTGTAGCTGCAGGCTTGTAGTTATAGGCTTGTAGCTGCAGGCTTGTAGTTATAGGCTTGTAGTTATAGGCTTGTAGCTGCAGGCTTGTAGTTATAGGCCTGTAGTTATAGGCTTGTAGTTATAGGCTTGTAGTTATAGGCTTGTAGCTGCAGGCTTGTAGTTATAGGCCTGTAGTTATAGGCTTGTAGCTGCAGGCTTGTAGTTATAGGCTTGTAATTGTAGGTTTGTAGTTATAGGCTTGTAATTGTAGGTTTGGTTTGTAGTTATAGGCTTGTAGCTGCAGGCTTGTAGTTATAGGCTTGTAGCTGCAGGCTTGTAGTTATAGGCTTGTAGCTGCAGGCTTGTAGTTATAGGCCTGTAGTTATAGGCTTGTAGCTGCAGGCTTGTAGTTATAGACTTGTAATTGTAGGTTTGTAGTTATAGGCTTGTAGTTATAGGCTTGTAGCTGCAGGCTTGTAGTTATAGGCTTGTAGCTGCAGGCTTGTAGTTATAGGCCTGTAGTTATAGGCTTGTAGTTGCAGGCTTGTAGTTGCAGGCTTGTAGTTATAGGCCTGTAGTTGCAGGCTTGTAGTTGCAGGCTTGTAGTTATAGGCTTGTAGTTATAGGCCTGTAGTTATTGGCTTGTAGTTGCAGGCTTGTAGTTATAGGCTTGTAGTTATAGGCCTGTAGTTATAGGCTTGTAGTTGCAGGCTTGTAGTTGCAGGCTTGTAGTTATAGGCTTGTAGTTATAGGCTTGTAGTTGCAGGCTTGTAGTTATAGGCTTGTAGCTGCAGGCTTGTAGCTGCAGGCTTGTAGTTATAGGCCTGTAGTTATAGGCTTGTAGCTGCAGGCTTGTAGTTATAGACTTGTAATTGTAGGTTTGTAGTTATAGGCTTGTAGTTATAGGCTTGTAGTTGCAGGCTTGTAGTTATAGGCTTGTAGTTATAGGCTTGTAGTTATAGGCTTGTAGTTGCAGGCTTGTAGTTATAGGCTTGTAGTTGCAGGCTTGTAGTTATAGACTTGTAATTGTAGGTTTGTAGTTATAGGCTTGTAGTTGCAGGCTTGTAGTTATAGGCCTGTAGTTATAGGCCTGTAGTTATAGGCTTGTAGTTATAGGCTTGTAGTTGCAGGCTTGTAGTTGCAGGCTTGTAATTGTAGGTTTGTAGTTATAGGCTTGTAGTTGCAGGCTTGTAGTTATAGGCTTGTAGTTGCAGGCTTGTAGTTATAGGCTTGTAGTTATAGGCTTGTAGTTATAGGCTTGTAGTTGCAGGCTTGTAGTTATAGGCTTGTAGTTATAGGCTTGTAGTTATAGGCCTGTAGTTATTGGCTTGTAGTTGCAGGCTTGTAGTTATAGGCTTGTAGTTATAGGCCTGTAGTTATAGGCTTGTAGTTTAGTCTGTTGTTACAGGGATATGATTATATACTTGTAATTCAAGGTTTAATAGTTAGACTTGTAGAACACTACTGGGACCCGTTGGCATTCATTGTACAATAATGGGCACAATTACTGATGGTTTGCTGATGTATTTAATCACCAAATGTATAACTATGTTACAATAAAACATAAAACCAGAGGCCTAATTGGCCTGCAAATCTCTCCTGTAAGTTCTAGCAATACAAATGGTCAAGATCAATCTCTAACAAAAACATATCAAATTTTTATTTTAATACAGAAAACAGCAGATTTCAATATTTTCATGTCTGTCACTTTGACTTGGTTTCACTTACTTGAACATACTTGAAAGTCAATCCAACACACAGAGTTTGACTAATTATCCTGCCCCCTTTATATATAAATACACAGAATTGAAAAAAAAGAAAAAACAACGAGGCAAGCAATTTTTCATCAAAAGAAATAAGCAAAGTTTCTTGAGTGAATACCAAAGGTCTGAATTAAATTTCAAGGTACGAAATTATTCACATTATAACCAAAACAAAACCAAGTGGTGTGTCAAACATTTCTGGCATTAGAAATCTAAGTAGCCTTTACCAAAGGTAATTTTCACACGATCACCTCACAACACCACCAAGTTACCTTAACAAAGGAAGCGAAAGACACCGATAAGTCCTACAATACGTCGGTTGTGGTGGATGCATCATTACCTGTTTAAAGCTCCCATGTCTAATTATGGGTAGATCATATGCTTTCTTTATAGACATTTTCTACATGCATGGCTTATGAATATAATCAGATAAAACCTAACATAATACAGCTAACTTACCCTGAATTTCCCCTGTCATTTATCTCTCTGATTTTTTTTTGTACTTTCAACTGTCTTTCCCCTGGCATCTCTTCCCCTCACTCCTGATGATTACCTTCAAGATGTCTTACACAAATGTGTCCCTATCAAGCTGTCTCTTCCCAATATTTCTCAATCAAGCTGTCTCTCCCCAATATTTCCCCCTCAAGCTGTCTCTCCCCAATGTTTCCCTCCTCTAGCTGTCTCTTCCTAATATTTCCCCCTCCAGCTGTCTCTCCCCAATATTTCTCCCCTCTAGCTGTCTCTCCCCAATGTTTCCCCCTCCAGTTGTCTCTCCCCAATGTTTCCCCCTCCAGCTGTCTCTCCCCAATGTTTCCCCCTCAAGCTGTCTCTCCCCAATGTTCCTCCTCCAGCTGTCTCTCCCCAATGTTTCCCCCTCTATCTGTCTCTCCCCGATATTTCCCCCCTCCAGCTGTCTCTTCCTAATGTATCCCCCTCCAGCTGTCTCTCCCCAATGTTTCCCCCTCCAGATG